GAGAGAGAGATGGGAAGGAACAATGCGTGGTTTAAGTAATTTCCGGCAGCTTGATGAAAAGTCTGTCAAGATCTGGAATAGCTTGCCAGAAGAGGGAAAATGAGGGAGAAGGGTGAATAGAGCACGAATTTGCTGGGTTTTACAGGTGAGAGAGGAAGCTTGCTCTCCAGATGTGGGTTGCCTTTGATGGGTAGAAGATGACCCCTTTTATAGCCGATGGAGGCCCCCTTTCTCCAAGAAACACTAATGGTTTCTATCAAATTTGGCCAAATCTTTCCCTCCCTTTCTCTTTTCTTCCTTTGACTAATCCTATTTGGTGAAATTCCCCTCTGCCCAATCTCACGAAATCAAGGATTTTGGGGAGCTCAATGCTCTTCCCCCAGCTGCCTCAGTGGAGAACTCCCCTTTTCAGCCATCTTCCTTCCTTTTCTCCCTTCTTCCATGGCTAGATCTGATGGGGGAAAAAGAAATGGGTATGTACACTTGTCTGAAGGGTGCTTTGCTCAAGTATCTCTTGGTTTTTTTAATGGCTTGCATTGGATTTGTCTTTGGACATGTGCTGGAGCCTCACACCTATGGATAGCTTTGGTTTCTGTCGTTGTTTTTGTCTCCAGCCATGTGCTGGAGGCTTGTAGATATTTTCTTGGTTTGCTTGGGTTTTCTTAAGGTGATAGGTAAGCCTACTAAGGGCATGGGCCAATCTTTTCAAGTGATGGGCTATTTTATTAAGGTGATGGGCTAATTTTTCTAGAGTATTGGGCTTCCTTTTTCTCTCTCTTTTATGCTTACCCACATATTTGGGCTCAAGAAATGGGCTTGAGTTTTGGGCTCCCAAGAAACCCGAAACTTCCATTTCTCGGCTCATCAATGGGCCTCATGAAAGCTCGTTACCATCCATACCACAACCCACTCAGCAAGCCCGGGTATTTGCGTGGCTTGGGCCCACTTAAGCTTGTGCGTGGCTAGGTGTAAAATAATGATCTTCCGCTTGGCATGGCATGTCGATTAGCGTGCTAGAATTTTATCCCCTTTAAAAAGGGACATGAGGCTTGACAGGATAATTAGCATGGGCTCGTAGAGCTAGTGCATTTTATAGGCTCATCCCAATTTTTAGCGTGACGGATTATTTATTTGGCATGGCACGTGGACTGTGGCTCGTGTGAGCGTGTATGACGAACTCTTGCGTGCTCCAAACCGAGTCTTTTCTTAATAAGGTGTTGTACTGGGCTGGGAATTTATTCGGGCCCAACTGTGGATTTTTTGGGCCTCAACATTGGGTATGGAGCTGCATAGGACTCGAAGATTCTCCTTCACATACAAAATCTGCATTTTTTTTTTGTTAATTACATCATGAATTGGTGCCTAATGTTTTTATTGGTTGTTGCTCTATTTTTATTGGTTGCTGCTGCTCTGTTTTTATCCATCTCAATGGCCACCTGAGCTAAATTGGTTGCTGCTCTGTGAGGTTTTTATAAATTGGTGCCTGTTGTGGTATATGCATGTGAAGCAGAAGCTTTATCTTGGGGTTTATTTTGATTTTTGTTAATTCTTTGTTATTATTGTTTGGATTGTGTTTGTAATTTTGTAAGCCATAAGGCATAATTATCACTTATTTCGGTTTGTAAGCCATAAGGCATGAGTTTTAACTATTTGGATTTGGTTGATTTGGATATTGAATATGTTGAGGGATATTGATTTGGTGGATTTGGATATTGATTTGGTTGATTAGGATTTGGATATTGAATTTGTTGAATATTTGAATCTGTAACTTAGGCATCACATATTTTGGTGAATGAATAGGTCATTGAATATTGAATTGGTTCATTTTTGAGTTGTGTTATTTTGATACTGAAATGGTACCGTACCATACCGATACCGATTTGGTACGGTATGGTACGATACCAACTTTGGCAAACTATAATCCCATTCCAATTGATCCAGCAGACTTCACATCACACGACAGAGGAACTATTATTGACTCAGGAACAACATTGGCATACCTTGTTGTAGAAGCTTACGTTCCTTTTGTTCATGCAGTAAGTTTATTCACTTGGTCTTATTTATGGGTTGATTTGTGGTGTTTGGTCTGAAAAATAAGATATCTTCTCCTTACTAAAATCTGAGTTTGTGTTGGGATATGTAGATAACTTCAGCTATTTTACCATATGTGACTCCCTTCATTTCAGATGAAAACCAGTGTTATCATGTAACCTTGGTTCTATCTCTAAATATTTTTTAAGTTTCCCTTTGAAGAAAAGCTATAAAGACCTAAATGACATTTTATGTTTCAGTTTCACTGAGGTTTTTCCTGCAGTTAGTCTAAACTCTGCTAGTGCATCAATAGTGTTTAAACCAGAAGAGTACCTTACATGTAGTGTAAGTTGTTCCTCCATCTCCCTCTATACAAGTTCTTATTTAAATTCATTGCATTAGACATATGATTATTGCAAATTGTATGGCATAAGTGTAATGGATCATTGTATTGTTACAGGTAGGCATTAGTGTGTGGTGCATTGGTTTTCAAAAGGCTTAGGGAGGCATGACAATTTTAGGAGGTTAGGCCCTGAATTTCGACTGGTTATTGAATTTTTGTGGAAAAAAAATTTGTAGATATTTGGTTGGATGAATCCTCTTCAATTTTTCTCCGTGTGTATATTTTTATTCAGAAGCTTATTTATGCTGGGGTTTATGCAAAGTAATGTATTTTCTAGTCTACCTGGTGGTGCACAATGCAATGGCTTTCTAAGCACTTTGCAATTATTTTTTGTACTGATAAATATTGATTATCACAATTTACTTTTGAAAACCGTGTATGACAATCATATATGTGTTGTCTCAATTGTGACCCTTTTTTGTTTCTTCAATTGCAGATCTTGTTCTAAAAGATAAGATAATCGTGTGTGATTTAGCTCGTCAACGGATTGGATGGGCGAACTATGATTGTAAGTTCAATTATGAGTCTATATGATCTCTTATTTTTTTTCAAGTTCTCCTTAGTATCTATGTCATATTTTGAAATTTTCTATTTTTCAGGCTCATCACCTGTAAATGTCTCCATACCTTCTAGCTATACTCGACAGCAGAGTGAAAGCAGATCATCATCAGGAGACATGCTATTGAGCGTGCTAACTAACAACAGGATTTGTGGTGATGTACGTATTGTTGGCATGACTTGTGGACCAATATCAAGAATTCTTATATTAATTGTATTACTTTAAATTCTAATTTACATAAGAATTTGGTCACCGTTGGATTATAAATGTTGGCACTAAAACTGAACAGATAGAGATGAGTGCAACTTACAAGAGATGTAGACGATCTAGCAGATCGATTGAGTGATAGATGGAGATTCTTCATGTCTTCAGATATCGGTGGCCGATGCCGATTGTCCGAGGCCTTGGGTACTTGGGCAAGTCTATAAGATCCACGTGTCGTTGTACGAGTGGAGGGTCATATATAGTACAAACAATAAATATGACCTACTATTAGGCCTCGTTAATGGGCCGAGTCGGGCTATCCTGGCCCAAATTTAATGGGCTTGGGCCTAGTTGAGCTGGGCTTTAAAGAGGAGAGAGAAAATAACGGGCTTGGTTTGGCTGGGTTTTAAAAAAAAATTCAAAGTCCAAGCCCGGCCCATGGGTTAGGCTTGAAAAGGCCCATTGGGCCTGGCCGGGCTGAAATGGGCCTACTTTATTTTGGATTCTTTAAATATTGATATTTTTGTCAATTCTTTATTTTTTATGTTTTGGTGTGTTTCTACGTTTCCTTTTTGTGTTTTTTGTTTTTCAGTAGTTCTCTATTTACATTTATCTATATAGCCGGGCTGAAATGGGCCTACTTTATTTTGGATTTTTTAAATATTGATATTTTTGTCAATTCTTTATTTTTTTATGTTTTGGTGTGTTTCTACGTTTCCTTTTTGTGTTTTTTGTTTTTCAGTAGTTCTCTATTTACATTTATCTATATGTTTATGTCTTCATTTTTTTCTTTGTTCATTTCATAAATTCACAATACATAAATTAAATTTCAGAAAACTACAACAAAAATTCATATGAACTCTTGTGACATTCTCTTCACCGTAAAACTCTAATAGAGGACATGGAAGAAGTGCCTTCTAAGTTGACAGAGTTTGATGTAGCTCCAACATTATTGATATGCCTTAAATTCAGTTGTGACAAGGTGTTTGATGAAGCATATATAAATATCAAATGATGTAGCATATAATCATTAAGTTGTCTATGGCATGGTGGATAAGTTGTTGATTGGGATGAAAGTGGTAGGGGTTTGAAACCCCATGTGTGTCTCCATTTCATTTCACTTTTAAACAAAATTTATATTTATATAAAATTTATGGACCTACAGGCCGGGCCTTTATGGGCTCAAACGGGCCGGCCCTATAGGCCGAGTTGGGCTTTAGACACCTAATCACAATCCTAGCCCACTAAATATCGGGCCGGGTAGGCCCATGACCCATAACGGACTGGGCCGGGCTTTTTTCTCGATGGGCAGGGCGTGCCTATCAGCCCACGGACCCGTGGGCCAAATGATGACCCCTAACCACACTAAGCTCAAAAAGCACAACGCACAAGTATTGCCAAGAAGATTTAAAAATAAAATAAAACGAAGTAGTACCCTCTTCTCTCCAGCGAAGGAGTGGGGGTTGGGGTGGGAAAATCAGATTGGTGGAGGGGTGGGAGGTGGGGGTTGTTGCTTGAATTCATAATTAAAGGGTATTTTAGGAATTAGGAATAATGCTGGGTGGAAAGATAGGTTTGTGTTTTTTCAAATTTACACGCGGCTTGTTGGGAAAATAATAAGGTGCAACTAATTAGTTTTTAGTTTAACACAAGTTTGCTGACGTTTACTTATTAAAATCATTAGATTAATCTAATGGTTTGCATTCTTTTAAATGCATGTAAATGCACCGATCCTAAATGCAAAGGCTCGGGAGGAATTTAAAGATATAACTAGGGAGGAATTTAAAGATATTAAATACATTATTAATTTTGTTCAATTGTCGAGTTGACAAAAGAGACCAATTTCCAAAGATCCTCCCAAAGCTTCTCATAGACACGAAGCTCATAATGGGCATGATCTATGGTGGAGTTAGGCAACGATTGTCCATCCTTGGCCAAAACGACAAGCCGATAGTTCTGGCCCGCGGCAATTTGGGTGTCGCCGCAGACGACTCTCACAACGAACAACTTCTTGTGGGTTCGCAGGTTGTACATGGACACTGTGAAGTCTGCCATCAACTTCAGACGAGGGTCGATGATGTTCTCTTTGGCTATGGGCTTCCAACCTCCGGCAAGAGGCTGCGATGGGGTAGTAGCAGCCACCAGCATCAGAGGAAGGAGGAGGCCAATTAGTGCCAGAAGGAGCCACTGAAGTTGAGGACGCATCTTCTTCAGTAGGTCCGTGGGGAAAAGCTAAATTTACTATTTTTTGAGTTGAGGGATGGACAAGTTACGTTGGCCCATTCCGTTATATATTGGTGAGGGCACTTCCAGCAGTGAAACCCTTGCCATGGCAAGGGGGGGACTAGGGCAAGCACTATTCACATGAATAGTGCCTGCCCTTACAAAAAGTAAAATGCACTTCCAGCAGTTGCCATGGCAAAGGGCAAATGCTATTCACTTTTTTGTTTTTTTAACAAATTTGTTTACCTAAACAATTAATTTGGATAATATTTTCGGATAAGATTTTGGGTTTCAAATTTCAAATTTTTGGTTTTTTTTTTTTTAAAAAAAAATTTTAATTTTTTTTGAATTTTTTTTTTTTTTTTTTTTTTTTTTTTTTTTTTTTTTTTTTTTTTTTTTTTTTTTTTTTTTTTTTTTTTTTTTTTTTTTTTTTTTTTTTTTTTTTTTTTTTTTTTTTTTTTTTTTTTTTTTTTTTTTTTTTTTTTTTTTTTTTTTTTTTTTTTTTTTTTTTTTTTTTTTTTTTTTTTTTTTTTTTTTTTTTTTTTTTTTTTTTTTTTTTTTTTTTTTTTTTTTTTTTTTTTTTTTTTTTTTTTTTTTTTTTTTTTTTTTTTTTTTTTTTTTTTTTTTTTTTTTTTTTTTTTTTTTTTTTTTTTTTTTTTTTTTTTTTTTTTTTTTTTTTTTTTTTTTTTTTTTTTTTTTTTTTTTTTTTTTTTTTTTTTTTTAAGGTTACGGAAAATTATGGCAAAATTTGGACATGAACTCAGAAATTTGAGGTCCAAAAATTGTGGAAACTGGATGTGTAAAATTTTATGAGTTCGGCAGGGAGTAATCAGTTTCTTCTTTATTTAGGGAAGGTTGATCATGGATGTTGAATCTTACACAGTTTATTCTTTAAATGAATTGTAAAATACTGATTTTTTTTACTTATTCCTTCCTTGAATTGTTACTGTTATTTGAGAGGTTAATTTATTGCACTAAAATTGGAACGAAAGACCACGTTCACAAAACCATGTTCCCCAAGTTAGGCCTTTGCCTTCACCAATTTGATCATGCAAGGGAAAGTTCTTCCTTAATTAGTAGGCACTAATAAAGCGCATGAACAAAGAAAACAAGAAATAAAATGGAATGAAAATCAAAACAAACAGAAAAACAATGCATAGATAACATACATATGCATAGATAACAAGGGAAAGTTCTTCCTTATTTTGGAAATTGGCATGATGATCTGATCTTGATCTTCTTGAGTGTTACTCCATCCCTAGAATTAATGATGAGTAGCCATGAAGGAATTTAAGTACAAAAAGCGCATCCATGTGAGATGAATTGATTCATTAACAAGTCAGTGACCAATTAATATTGAAACTACACTTCATATATAACTAAAATACTACTCTAGACAATAACCCACCTATTTTATTACATTTAAATAAAACCTAAATTTGATTTGGATGCCAAAGTGTTCATGTATTATGACATATTTACAAATCATGCCATCAATCCTTCTTTGTTGCTAAACATTTTTCTCCTTAAAAATATCCCTTAAGTTTAGGATTTCAATACTAGGCATTCGAACGTGGTTTCTATTTCTTTAATCCCTAAATTTCCTCTAGGTTTTGGAACCAATCAATTTCAAAAACATACGACACTAATTACACACCAAGTTTTAATTATATATAAAATAAATAAATAAAACTGACCACAAAACTTATGCAAAATTGAAACACCATTATGACATTGAATAGCAAACAATTTGTTGGGAAAAAAAAGGGGTTAAAAATGCAATTAGGGGTACTTTAGGAATTCAATAAATGTAACATTTAATATGTCAAGCTTGATTAGGTAACTTGCTTACGTGGATCCTAGTCATCGGGTTTTACTTATAAAAATTAAGGTTAATTTATAAAAAAATAAAAGGATGGACTGTAGATAAGAAAAAATGAATTTGAAGGAGAAAATCCAAAATTTAAAAAACACGGGTACCAGAGAGTGGCTGACAAATTATTTGGGGCGCAGTTTTCTTAATATGATACATTAATTTCTTAGAACCCACACCATCCTCTATACAAATATAAATATATAATGCAAACATCCCTTATATATCAACCTAGCTAGTTAGCTAATTATTGCATATATGCATGTACCATATAGACTATAAATACCCCAACACTCTTCATTCCTTCCACCAAAATTTGACTTTTCATTCATTACGTATTTTAATTTCTCTCTTACTCCCTCTCACACCGAAAAAAAAAAAAAGAAAAAAAGAAGAAGAAGAGAAGGAAAAATGAATGTTACAAATTGTCTGTACAGAGTTGTAATATTGATGATTCTACAATCATTGGTTGCTGAGAGTGCATTCATTTACAATGTCCTAAGTTTTGGAGCTAAGCCTAATGGTGCAACGGATTCCACCCAGGCTTTTGTGGATGCATGGTCTGCAGCTTGTGCCTCCAACGATTCCACTACCATAAGTGTACCAAAAGGGAGGTATTTGCTTCCCTCTGCTATCAAGTTTAGAGGTGACAAATGCAAAACCCTAGATATTACTTTCCAGATCGACGGAACGTTGATTGCTTCATCTGATTACCGTATTCTAGGCCAAGCTAACAACTGGCTCAGCTTCGAGCGAGTTACCGGTGTTTCCATCATTGGAGGCACTCTTGATGCCAAAGGTACTGCCTTGTGGGCTTGCAAGTTAGCTGCAAGCACTGGTTGTCCCAACGGAGCCACGGTCAGTAATTTGCTTCTTCTTGTCAAACAATTTTTTATCATGTTATAGTATTAAACATTCCATTTGTGATTGTGTACCAACACAGCAACAATTAGTAATATTTTATCTTTTTTTTCGCAATGGTATGCAAAGAAAGTATTCTTGTGTAAGCTTGTGGTGTAAGTTACCCTAGAAGTATCTTCATTTCTTTTAAGTTTCTTCCTATTGACTAAGAACTAATTGAACTACCACTCGTCCAACGCAGAGTCTGAGATTTACAAACTCCAAAAACATTAGCATCAATGGACTAACCTCATTGAACAGCCAAATGTTTCACATTGTGATAAACGGTTGCCAAGATGTTTACATTCGAGGAGTCAAAGTCAATGCGGCTGGCAATAGCCCAAACACTGATGGCATCCATGTCCAACTGTCTAGAAATGTTGCAATTTTCAACACATCCATCAAAACTGGTGATGATTGCGTCTCTATTGGCCCTGGCATGAAGGACTTGTGGGTCGAACAAATATCATGTGGACCTGGCCATGGCATTAGGTTAGATTTGAGCTCTTGCTTTGCATATATATATTAAGGTTGCAATTAAAACCCTTAATTATTGTTAGTATTAGCATTGCCATTGGGGTCTAGCCCCGTGGAAAGGGCCTTGACTTGCAGATCAATGATCTCGAGTTTAAACTCCGTGGCACATTAACAATGTGTGTGAGAAAATCCCGTCCCCCAATCTCTTGTATGAAAAAATAGTTGGTATTAGCATTGGCTTATGAATGCACGGGTGTGGTGATTGCAGCATAGGGAGTTTGGCCAAAGACTTGGAAGAGGAAGGAGTTCAAAATGTGACGGTTAGAAACGCAAATTTCAAGGGTACTCAAAATGGGCTGAGGATTAAGTCTTGGCCTAGACCTAGCAGCGGCTTTGTCCAAGGTGTTCAATTTATTGATGCTGTAATGCTTAATGTCCAAAATCCCATTGTAATTGATCAAAATTACTGCCCAGGCAATATCAACTGCCCTGCTCAGGTAATAAAACTAAGTAATTTGTACTATTTTGATGTTATATTATCATATCAAATGGAAACTCTGTGTCCTTTGTTCAATCTTCAGGCATCAGGTGTGAAAATCAGTGATGTATTGTACCGAAACATTCAAGGAACATCAGGAAGAGCAGTAGCAATAAAATTCGATTGTAGCGCAACAAATCCATGCAGTGGGATACGACTCGAAAACGTGAGTTTGACCTACCGGAATCAAGTGGTTCAATCACATTGTACCAATGTAAATGGAAATACTTCTGGCATTGTTCAACCAAATAGTTGTTTGTAATAGTGAAGAACAGATTAGGCGTGAAGTACTTGTACATATGATCTACACACATTTTGCCAGTGAGTAGTGCGTATCGGTGCATTAATATAATTTTTTTTTCCAAAGCATTAATTTTCTTTCATTGTTTTCTAATATAAAAGCATGAGAATATCCTGTGGATTTCAATATTGCTAGAGATGGCATGTACATAAATATCATTTCACGTGATATATATAGTCTTACTGAACTTGCAATTTACTTTTCTAAGCTACTTGTATAACAAACAGAACTTTCAAGTTGGTCTACATTGATAGTTTTGCCAGTTTACTAAGCCAAAAAGCGCACTCAAGAGGGAAAGAATGGTTTTCTCAAAACCGAACTTAACGAAGAAGCAGGCATTAATTTTCCAAGTAAAGCATTCCTATACCAATATAATAATATTATTACAAGATTATAGAACACTGAACACATGTGGAAAGAGAGAGGACTAACCCACATTTATTAGGTTGTGTACTATCTGCCCCATAAGCAATTCTCTCTAAACAGATGACTTGAGGCCAATGATACCTGCCAAAAAGTCAATGCAACAAATATAGACAAGAGTTTGGGGGATGAAAAGGGGAAGGGGGGGAGAAACAAGAAAAAACAAAAAGGAATGCCAAAAAACAGTTTGCCTGACCCTACTACTGACTTTTAAAAAACAATTTTCTTGCAGCAACAAAAGGCTAGAGAAGTGAAATACATACCACATCCAACTCTTGCTCCTGCATTCCCAGTAGTCTTGCTGAGTTCATGTCCACCTGTTGCATTAACAATAACAGACATCAGGGAACAGCTTCCATGGTGGACATGAATCAGAAGATAAATCCACAGTAATGCAATTTGTACTAGAAATTTGAAATAACTGAAGATGGCAGAGAAAGTTATTGCAGAAAAGGCAGAAGCCAATTTGGCAGTATAATTCATTGTTCTGTATGTCATAAGGAGGAGATACTAAACAAATTAATAAAAAAATTCACTAGTTTCTCCACTTCAAGCTTTCAGTGAATCCTTTCACTCCTAAAGTAAGAAATTAAGTTCACTTTCGGATGAAAACCTTCACATCAATCATCAGGACATTACCCCTGCGATTGATCCCAGACAACAAAACTTTAAGGAGTATCTATATCACAGTTCCAACAATTTGAACTGTCCAGATCTATAAAGCAATATGGTACTGTAGTATCATAACCTCATGGAAACATTCAAACAAAAACGTATCAGCACAAAGCATGCACAAAACTCCTATCTGCATTCATATGATATTAACTATCACAGGACAAAATGGAAAAGTATGTGTTGGTTGTATTGCAAAAAAACATATGATTTTAAACACGATGAGAGAAACAAGTAAATTCACCCACTTCTAAAACTCTTGAATTCAAAACAAAGTGCCAAGAGATATGCAAGAGAAATTATTTCCCATGTGTAAAGACCAAATGAGAGAATCATTTGTAATTGGACTCAACTAGGTGGAAGAGTACTTCATAAAATGTTGTGTGATTGACACAAACCTGGCACAAGTGAAATAAAATTTCATGGCACGATAATAAGAATGAAAATAATTTAGACTTTAACTCAGAGGAGATTGACATCTTTGTGATATAAGCTCAAGAAGATGCTTTGCAAAATCACAAAACATTCATCAATTGTATTACAGTATGTAATTAGCCTTACAGGATTAATGACTTCCAAAAGAAAATATTTTGAACGTCACTACAGAAGGTTTCAATCCCCTTGGAAAGAAAAACCATCGCTACCAAATGGACTAGAATTAAACAACAAGAGAATCCAAATCGAGAAAACGAATTTGTAATTTTAACATCTGAGAATGCATCTGTTAGCTTCATTCGGGGAACATTTTCCGAGAAAAAAAACAGAGAAAACATGTCGGTTCGATTCTGTCAAAGTTTCTATTAAGTCAACATGTGAGATTCTTTCAAGGGCAATTGGGTCACCCAATAATTAAAAAACTAAAAGAATTGTAACACAATATAATTGGAATTAAACAAGATGAAAATAACCCCTACCATCATCCCCCGACCTCTCCTCTACCCCTGGCCCTCCGTCCTCTCCCATCCCTGCATATGTGCTTAACAATTCTACTCACACCCAATGTGCAAAATATCTGAATGATATTTGGCTGTATATCAAAGTCGAAGCTTTCTGTTGCTGCTTGTTTGGTTGCAATGGTATGGTTTACTATGTGTGTGTGTGTATGTGAGAGAGAGAGAGAGAGATGGAATGGAGCGAGGGAGACAGGGGTGGGCAGTGTGGGGCTAGGGGAGGAGGGAGGTGACATGAAATTTATAGTTAACACCCACACCACAGGTCTCAGCATATTGTGAAGCATGTGAAAATCCATAGTGGCAAGATATAATTCATGATTCTGTTTGTCATGAAGAGGATGTTACTAAACAAAGTATTAAAGAATTTCCAAGGAAAATAATTTTCCAGTTCCTCCCCTTCAAGCTTTCAATGAATCATTTCACTCCTAAAGGGAGTTCATCTTCAAGATGGCTCATAGTTTTTCCCTCCTATTAAAGCATTTCCACCAGTTCCAAAGTATTACAGATTCAAAATCAATGCTTTCAGATATGCAGCCATGCAGGGAGCCAGGGACCAAGAAATTGTTCCAAAACGAGCTCCTCAACAAAAATAAACGCAGCCGTTTCTCAACAGAAATATAGATGCAGATTAACCCTCTCTCTCTTCATCTCTCTCAATCTCAATCTATCTTTATTGGGTAAGTAAGAAATATATGATTAATGTTAGAAGCTATGGACATCACAGCAATCTGATAATACCATATGATACTGCGGTCCCAGTCTCATGGAATCATTCAAACGAAAAAACACCAGCACCAAAATCCGATCTGTATCCATGATATTAACAATAGCAGCACAAACCGGAAAAGAATGCATAGAATTTATTATAAAAACACATTATTTCAGACACACTGAGAAGGGCTACACGACAGTTAAATTCACCCACTTCTCTAAAACTCCTGAAGTCAAAATGAAGTGATAAGAGATATGCTAGTGAAATTATTTCTAAAGTATGAAGAGCTAAGGAGACAACTTTTTGAACAAAGAGGTGAACGAATGCTTCTTAGATGTTGTGTGATTGACACAAACCTGACAAAGTGAAGGAAAATTTTTCATCGCATGATGATAAGAACGACCATAATTAAGTCTAAATGCGATGAGATTGACACCTTTGCAATATAAGCTCCAGAAGATGCTATGAAAGTGCAAATGTATTAAGCAAACAATCATCCAATCAAATTGTACATTCTTACCTTTGCCAAGATCATCAGGATCAGCATGCACTACAACTGCCCTCCCAAGAATGGAATGAGGTCCGCTTAGTGGAATCTAAATTTGATATCAAGAACTTAGATTATAGAAAAAGGGGAACAGGAATCCAAACAAATAAAATGATTTCATTGGCAATAATATACTAGCATTGTAGATAACCTATGACATATATATACATACATGTTTCAATTAAAAGATATCAGCTAGACGCCATGTTACCATTTTAGAGGATTTGAGTGAACAGAAAATGAATCAAATTACCTGCCAGTCCTTAAGAGAAACCTCAGCAACTCCTGCAGAGTGCAAATTTAGTAAAATACTGAGCTGTATGTATCTGAGGAACCATTCCATCTGGCGTACAATACTACATTACACACAGAAACCAATACTTTTCATACCATCTGGGCCTGCAACAATGTTACCCAAATCACCTGCATGACGCTCCTTATCTGAAGGAGCTCCATGGTCCTTCTTCAGTGGATTAAAATGAGGTCCTAATAAAAACCAACATCAAAATATAAAACTTTACTAGTTTACCAACAGTAAACCAAGAAAAACAAATGAGAAAATTAAAACCCATTAAAGAAAAAGCTAACATTGAAAATTGAGAATTTAAGCTGAAAATTATAGAGAGATAGAAATCTTTTACCAGTGGAATTGCAACCATTGGAGGTATCACCAAGAGCGTGAATATGGAAACCATGGAGGCCCGGAGAGAGCCCAGTAATTCTCCCTTTTACTTGTGTAGGCCCTGTTTATATTTAAATTACCAACAATTAACACCAAACCAACCCAGAAAAGCACACACGCCGCACAGAGAGAGAGTAAGAGACCGTTGGCATCCTGAACGAAATGAAGAGAGCCTCGGACTTTGGAATCTCCGATGATAAGAGCAACTGCTTTCACACTACCCATGTCCTCTGCTTCCTCTGCCTCCTATTTCACGAGTTCCCTGTCTTTTCTACTCGACTCCTACGTAAGCTATATATGTTTATCCAATTCGCCAAATGTCAAAATGGTCCCTGTGTTTTACCCATTTGGTCAATTTAGTCTCTGTGTTTTTAATTTGGCTAATTTAGTCCCTATGTTTACATATGTTAGCCAATGTAGGACAATCTGTCAAATAGATGTTAAAATAGACATGTGCATAGCACATGAGTGAGCATAAAGGTATTTTTATACAAACTCAATCGCTGAAACGCTTCTTTTCCTCGGCGTTCATGAGAATTTGAGCTTTCAAGTTCAAAATCAAGACTCTTTTGGTGGAATGGTTGCACGTAACGCCAATCCAACTGCAGAAATCAATGTAATCATTCCATGAGCTCATGACATGGAAAGGATCTTGAGTGATTCTTTTCTTCAAGTCCAGCAGTGCTAGGTCATCACTTGAATTTCTAAAAGTAATACAACTGGGTAGAATTGCAGAATTCAAAGGTGTGCTCATGCTCATGCATAAAAGAATGAACCCATGAAGGAATGGAAACAAAATCCGCCTACCATGAGTAGTGTGTGAATGCTCCATCCCTTTCTTTAAAAAAAAATACAGAATGCAAAGCAACCTTGAATTAGGGGTACTGCTACAAACAGCCCCAAAGTCTAATATGTCCAGGCCTAGAGGGGTACTTTCATTACACCAAATGCGCCAAGGATCCCAATTGAAAGTCAAATAACGACAAGGCTAGTTGTAACTCCTTCTTTGCAAGCCAGGACTTCGATGCTACAAACAGCCCCAAAAGTCTATTATGTTCAGGCCTAGAGGGGTCACTTTCTGATCGGTTCATAATTGATATCATTTCGTACCCTTCTAGCTTATGATTTGGTTATATTTTTGAGTTAAACTTGTGCTTTTAATCCTTTTTGTGTTTATCTTTCAGTTCATTGTGCTTTAGGTAACAATGATGGCTTTGGATAGGAAATGATGCAATCCATGCATGTTAAGGCCTGATTTGGGTGAATGGAAGAAGAGCTTAAAGACAAACTAATTTTGGCTACAAACCCTTGCCAGCCCAGTTTCGTAGGTCAACTTCTTGGCCTTGGATCAGCATGCTCTGGGGCTCAGATGAGGTGAAGATCTTCATGAAAGTTGTTCCAATGGGTGTGTACTATAACATATCCAAATTTCAGCCCAATTGAACATATCTGGAGTCCTTAGCCCGTCCAACACTGAACCCTGCTCAGGAGGATTTGCAGCTGCCAGCTTTTAGCCATGTGCCTCACCCCAGCTATAACTGACTTTGTACCCAACATAATGAGTGAAGTAGGGAGGCATTCCAGCTAT